TGTAAAATCCAGACAAACAGAGGAAAACATGCATGTAATTCTAAATAACAGATTAATTTAACTGACAAAAGCTGACAGTCATTCCACTTACATTACTCTTGTCCAAATCACAAACAACAGTATCGGAACAATTCAAGATGTCTTCATCATCTGATACCTGAAAAAAATACAAAACATTAATAATGTACAATAGAACAGCAGGCTGAAACTGATGACAGTATGGAAGTATCAGTGCGGGTAGAACTCACAATAATCTGATTGAAGTCGTCATTTGAATGTAGACTTTCTGTGCTGTTATTAGTTTCATTTCCATGTGCATGATGGTTTACCAAGTGGCCAGTCTGACTGCAGTAATCACTTTCATGAGACACATCTGAGCTGTGATTCTCATGTGATTCCATATCACTTCCCTCAGAACCAGTCTCCTGTAAAATCCAGACAAACAGAGGAAAACATGCATGTAATTCTAAATAACAGATTAATTTAACTGACAAAAGCTGACAGTCATTCCACTTACATTATTCTTGTCCAAATTACAAACAACAGTATCGGAACAATTAAAGATGTCTTCATCATCTGATACCTGAAAAAAAACAGAACATTAATAATTTACAATAGAACTGCAGCGTTGAACCGATTACAGTAGAGGTTTCAGAGAGGGTTACAGAGGAATATCAAATTACACCAATGGCTACATCAAAATAAACTACAATTGTACTGAGGTACTTGAACAAGACTTCAATCTCAAAATCCACAATCCAGAAACTGATTGCAGCATTTACTGCACAAGATTATAAGGGACTACGAGTCTAACCTCTTCTCACTCTTAAATCAGCAGTACACAATACAATGAATGCGACTGGCATACTTACATTACTGATACCCCTGGGACTTGAAGAAACATCTACTTCAGCATGGTATTTGCAGTCGCAAGCTAGATTGACAGCTGCATCAGCAGATGAATGGTATTTGCAATGACAAGGATGTGCACTGTGGTGCTTGCAATAGCAATGAGCTGTGTTGTTATGATAAGGGCATGAACATTCAACATCACTGACAAATTTCCTCTTTTTGGCTCTGTAGAAAGATGCCAAGCTTTTTCCACCCGCATCCATGTTGTCGTCAGAACTGAACAGCCTCTCAAGGAACAGCTGTAAGAAATAAATTTGCTTGATTAGCCAAACAGTTACATTGATGAAGGGCAGAACAGACTAGGAAGCACTCTGGACTACCTACCACTCTGAACCCAAATGGCACATCTGTAATATCTCTCAGTATACTACTTTCAGCTGAACATTTTTCGTCCTTACTCCCTGTGATCCTTAAACAACACTTTCTGTTTTTCTTTTGATTGTTTTGTTTTTTTTACGAGACGGCGCCGGCCCCGGCTCATAACCACTGCCCTCTTGTACTGTTGCGGAACGTTCTCGCCTCGCTCTCATAGTAACCAACTCCTTTCGGCAATCTGCAGGCTCCCGCACATTCTTTTTCCTGAATGATTTTTAGACTTCTTAGTGAAATTGAACGTGAGAAGTTGTACTGAAAATCTAAATCAGAGAGTAACTCAAAAACTGCGCTGAATTCCACGCTACATTCCCACGGTAACGGCCAAAATCACTTTAAAGGTTTTGTTTCCCGCCAGCCGCGGCGGGAGGTGGAGTTGCAATTTGACCGTTAGGGATTGTGTGACATTAGCTCGACTAGCTCGATTTGTGTGGCTCGTTTCGAACTTGCAGATTGTGTGTGTACTGAGGTACTGAGTAAGAACAATGGGCGGAAATAAAAAGAAGAAATCGACGTGCTATGTGTATGTGAAAAATCTCACCAATAATAAAAAGTATGCCCTTTCTGCCGATTTGCTGTACCATTGGAATGGCAATGCCAATGAAGCCCAAGAAAAATTTGACCCCAGTAAACCATTTCATAGTAGTAACCAATACTGCGTGTTTTATGCAGGGAAGGCTGTTCGTCACGCAGCCTACCATGTTGCAGGTAAGGTTTGTCTCTAATGTAACAGTCATTGATTGATATAAGTACCTAACCTCGTCCGCATAGGCTCATCCCGCAACCGGAATGACCTCTTGCTTTTCTTTTAAAAGTTTTCATTGGTTTGGTGCAAACAAATATTATAATTCCTGCTATTTCACTTCCTCCTTCTAAATCCCTTTCTGCAATATGTTATATTTTTTAAAATTTCTGATGTGTTTTAAAATATATGTCTTCCGTCTTTGCAGAAACAAGAGAACTCTGCCTATCGAAAACTAAGGAAGTTGGCGGTATGAGCCTCAGGCCTAGTGTAGTACCCGCTAGAAAATCGCTGACACCAGCTGAAGTATCAAATACTGTGACTCTATCGCAAATGGAAATGGCAGATGCCAAAGCTATGGAGGTAATGTACTGCTAGCCTTCACTCTACTTCTAATTGCATGATATCCCTCATCAATGTCCAATTCTGGTAACAAACATCTTAATTGCAGGAAAGCGCAGAAAGTAAGAGGAAAGAGGTTCACGGAGACAGAAAGAAAGTGAAGAATGAGATGAATAATAACAAGAGTAATAAGGAGAACCCAATTAAAAAGAAGAAAAGCAAGTTGAACAAGACGTCACCAGTTAATGATATTAATCAGGTAAGTCGAGTCATGCGAGCTGCTGCAGTTCAAAAGATCATGATCAAGCCTTTGATTTCACTTTTTAATTATATTATTTTTTTAGTATTCAATTCTGGTAGCAAGCAAATCTCCTTCACTACAGGACACCCTTCCAAGTGATGAGACCGAGGCACATAGGGAAAAACATTATGAGATGGGCCATGCAAAAATAGTATGTGAAAGTTT